ATTATGAGCAGTGCCAGATAGGTCTCAAATCATTATTACAAACCTTAAGAAGAGAATATATTGAACAGATTTGGTATATAATATGACAGGGAACGTTTTTAAACTATTTTAGTAATCACATCATAATACTTGCAGACAGCACGCACTTATGTACTTGTCTTATCTTGATCACTAAAGGGATTGTCTGTTGTCATTTCTTTAAAGTTTTGACAAAATCTTATCTTGCTAGATTTCATATTTCTCTTATTTCAAGTCAATGGTATAAAAGTAGTAAGATAAATAATAATGAAGATCTTATTGCAACATTCCAACCTATTAGGCTATGCAGTGAAACTAATCAACCTTCATCATTTAATAATATCAATAATACAATTGATTTTGGATGTTTGTCTCAATTTTGTACTTCTAATGCATTTACCCTTGCTTTGAAAAAGAAAATTAGTGAAAAGATACATTGGGCTAAAGGATATAGAATGTCTAAAAAAGTGTTAAATTTAATAATACGTCTCAATTGTAATGATGAATTCTATAAAATGATGAAGGACTTCATTTCTTCCAAAATACAAGAGTTGCAACTTTTAGAAGAAGGAGATAATGATAAAAATACTATTAGTCTCACGAACCTGTTGTAGTTGTCAATCCAATTGTGACTAAGCGCCATAGACACCCACCAAAACAATAATTCAAAAGTGTATTAGAAGACATTAGTAATACTCAGCAAAACTGAGGTAGATTTAATACTAATAATGTATAAGAAAAAAAGACAAAATAAATGTACTAATTGTGGAAGTTATAGACACAATATTAAAACCTGTACTTAGTGTTCTAAAGTTCAGTTTAGTTCAATTTAAGTTCAGGTTCAAGTTTAATTGAACCTGAACTAAACTTTAAATTTTGCAGATCTTTGAACTTGAATCTGAACTGAACTTTAAATTTATGAACTTGAACTGAACCTAAACTCAAAGTTTTGGTTTAGTTCAAGTTCAGTTCAAGTTCATAAACATGTTCAAGTTCAATGAATTATATATATATATTA